AATAAAAATAAAAAAGAAGAAGAAGGGAAACTTACACTTGGGTGTAATCAGTATTGATTTTTCTTTTACCCCGTATGTCCCGAACTCAAATATCCTTTCTCCACTTTTTTATTTTTTAAATTTAAGTTTTATTGATCCATTAACAATCCTTTATTTTTTTGTTCTCATCTAAGATAGTAAATTAAGGATGAACAGTTAGCTATGATCTTTGGAAGGAGTTCTACCGAAAATGATTATTTGTCTTTGACATGATGCAAGCTCTTTATACCTAAAGTTTTACTCCTTTTTTATTTTTTTCTATCCTGTCCTTTGATTTGAAGTTTTTTTGTCTTTGTTTTGTACTAGCTTGGTTCTTGTTTTTTGTATTTTTTAATGAAATTTTCTTGATTGGATCAAAAGATTACAACTTTTTGGAACCAAGGGTTATTAAATTATTTTGAAATTTTTTTCATACATCTCTTACACAATACTTATATAATATGTGCATTTTATACATAAGTGGACTTATCTAGAACTTTCATGTTAAATATTTTATACACAATAACAAAATAAAAATACATTTTATTATAGAGATGTATAGATAAATATATTTATCTTAAATAAGTTAATCTCTATATGTTGTACACAGCAATTTACTAACATATACATTTCATTATTTTAATATGTGCATAATGGGTTATCTAAGATAAGCCAATTCCATTTATATCATGGTTGGATCCTTTTACCAATAAGAAATGGATTTGGGGAAAATTTGTTCATTACATTTCAATGTAGACAATATTAGCATACAATCTATAAAACTATAAGATTTTATGAACTAATCATTATAATATGATGTACATAACTTTAAAATAAAATATATACATATCTAAAAGTAATTGTATATTAGACATTTTATTATATTTGTTATTTACTTGTTGCGTATAAAATTATAAGTTATTTTATTAGTAATAAGAGTATTATATAAAGCATAAAACATTTATAGATATTTAAGTAAGTTATTAAGTACAACCCTTCTTGACCTAATTTGGGTTAAAATCAAAGGTGTCTTCATCTTCATAATAAAATACTTCGATACACTTGAAACATATAATTTACGCTTCGTTTTATCCAAACACTATATATGTTAAAAAAAACAATAAATAATTAGCTATACACCAAACCGTAATTTTCACAAAACTGTTCTTTGGCATAGCAACGAGGCAAAGTGTGGGACCCGCAAGATGATATCATTACAAACTCACACTTTAATATCTTGGACCCATCTCAACCTCACTTAAATCTAAAGAGGAACGCAGGTCCAAGCGCGTGGCGGCAAACCACAAGAAAACTCCCCATTCTCAAAGCTAAAAAGGGGGCCAGTCACTCTCCAAAAATTTGTAATAAAAATTCCTTCCTTTAATTTCCCGGCAAAGAGTCCCCCATTACCCCCTCCAAAACCCTAATCTTCTCCCACCTCAACCACCTACCAAATCCCATCTCTCCCTTTCTCTCTCTCTCTCTCTTCATAAACTCAATTTCCCATCAGAGTTCCTTTTTCTTTTGTTTCCTTTACTCTTGCAAAGACCCATTTCCTGATAGAGTTTTGAACTTTTTTTTTTTTTGGTGGTTTGGGAATCTGGCTTTTTCAGATTGAACCTGAAAACTCATTTGAATTCAATCAAAACCTGTAAATTTGAATACTCAATTTGTCTTTTTTTCTGCTTTGGGAAATGGCTGAGGATAAAAATGGGGATCGAAGTGAAGTGAGTGATTACTCATCAGAAGATGAAGGGACTGAAGATTACAGAAGAGGAGGGTACCACGCGGTGCGTATCGGTGACACTTTCAAGAATGGTTGCTATGTGGTTCAAAGCAAGCTTGGTTGGGGTCATTTCTCCACTGTTTGGCTCGCTTGGGATACTCAAAGATCGGTATTTTTCTCTTCTTTTTCTTGCTTTTGAGCTTTTTTTTTTCTTTTGTATAATACATTTTTAGTACGCTTATTGTAAAGTTTGATTTTTTCTTTGTTGGAAACTGGAAAGCTGGGGAAGTTTAGAATTATTGTGTGAATTGGTTGAACTTTTCAAGTAAGACAAAACTTGTATATATAGTTAGTGAAGAAATCAAAGAAAAAGGTAATGGAAGGGGCAAACGAGATTTTGGATTTTCACCGTTGGTTTTGACTGGTTAATCATTAATAAGGTTTAATTGGGTAAACAATTCTTGGAATGATGAGAAATAAGTGTATAAGATGTACGCCTTGATTTATTGTTTCTTTATAACATAATTTTCGTTTTTCTCGTGGAATATATAAATTGGGTGTATTAAGAACAATGAAAGGAGTCATTGTAAGAGATGCTGGAATGTGCGCTGCTTTTGGTTAATTGAAGGGTCTTAGTTCTGCAGCTAAAGTTGTGAAGAGTCCAAGATTTGCCTCCTTGCAATTGAGCTTCAGATGCCCTTCATGTCCTAATCAGAGAAAATTTTCTCTATATAACGTATCATTTTCTTGTTGCAGCATCGTTATAGTGATTCTAGTCAATGTGCTTATATATTGTTCTGTTTCTTATTTAGATAGTAAGATGCTTTGTTTGTTGAATTTTGTCTTTTCTTATGTAGAACTGGATCAGCCATTGCCATTTAATTTTCATGGTTTAACTCTTTAATCACATGAGAATTTATTGTTTGTAGCGTTATGTAGCTTTGAAGATTCAAAAGAGTGCTCAGCACTACACTGAGGCGGCAATGGATGAGATAAGGATCCTCAAACAGATAGCTGAGGGAGATCCAGATGATAAAAAGTGTGTCGTGAAGCTATTGGATCATTTTAAGCATTCAGGGCCTAATGGGAATCATATGTGTATGGTTTTTGAGTACTTGGGGGATAACCTTTTGACCCTTATTAAGTATAGTGATTACCGAGGGGTTCCTCTTCACATGGTTAAAGAGATTTGTCATCAGATCCTAGTGGGTCTCGATTATTTGCACCGTGAACTTTCAATCATTCACACTGATTTGAAGCCAGAGAATGTGTTGCTATTGTCCATGATTGATCCATCAAGAGATCCTAGGAAATCTGGTGCTCCTCTCGTCCTTCCAACTAGAAAGGATAAGGTTGTCTCAGAGGCTGTTGCTTCAAAAGATATTAAGAGTTCAAATGGTGATTTGACCAGGAATCAAAAAAAGAAGATTCGAAAGAAGGCTAAGAAGGCAGCTCAAGGTTGTGTAGGAAAGGAAGCTTCTGAAGAAAATGAAACAGATTCCAAGCCTGGTGGTACAGAAGACAGTAATGTTGATGCCAAATCAAATGAAGTTTCTGGTGAAGAACAGCAAAATAGTTCTGTGATTAAAGATGAGACAAAGAGTGATGAAATCAACAATAGTAACCAAGAAAAACGGCGTCGTAGAAGAGGGAGCCGTGCAACAAGGAAAAAACTGTTAGCAGAAGTTGATCTCAAGTGTAAATTAGTTGATTTTGGCAATGCTTGCTGGACGTACAAACAATTTACAAATGATATTCAAACCAGGCAATACAGATGTCCTGAGGTTATCCTTGGATCCAAATACTCAACAGCAGCAGACTTATGGTCTTTTGCTTGTATTTGTTTTGAGCTGGCTACCGGTGATGTTCTTTTTGATCCTCACAGTGGTGAAAACTATGAACGAGATGAGGTATGCAGAAGTTTTTCTGACTGTGTCGCACATTTTTATTTCCGTCATTTGATACTTACATAAATTTATGTGCCTCCTAATAAATGCGGTTCTCCATGTGTGATAATCATGCATTTGATTTCACCATCGTCTGTAGAACAATTTGTACCATTGTGAATATTAGACCTGGCACTACTTGATACTTGTTTGTTTTCCTTGTAAGATTGTATGTATCTTGCTTATTCTAATTTTCATGTATTTACATATGAATATGTTGTAATTCATGCACCTGTACCACCCTTATGCACAGCAAATAAGGAGAAAGAGAGGAGGAAGGAGCAATAAATGATAGAAATTTCTTGGGCTAGAACATGAGTTCTATATGTTTTTACCTTAGATTTGTTTTATGCGCCATGATTTTGTAAAAAAATTAGGTTTTCTTATGCTTGTTTAGCTTTTATTTTTAGCAGGTTAACTGTGCTAGTACAACAGAAATCAGTATCAAATCTATAAACTAAGGGGTTGTTTGCCATGCACTTCCCAACAACACAAAAACCACTGATCAAGCATAACAAAAATAATCCTACACTTTTATAGAAGAATGTAGTTCTTGTTTCCTCCCTTTGAGTTTTTCTTCTCTCTAACACTTCTAAAATGTATAAACAAGAAGCTTCAATCTGATAGGCTTCTCATATTTGAAGTTGTTTTATGGATGTCTATGTATGACAATTTAAAAATAAAGGCTGCTCTTGGTTCCAGAAAATTACTCATTTCCCTTATAACTGTACAGTGGCCTTAGATGTACACCATATAAGGTTTCATTCTATTTTATGTTTGAAGTAAGCTTTTCTGTATCCTACAATAGGCAATAATGTGACTGCCTACTTGTTTCCTATTTGTGTGGTGGTGAAAAACATAAAGAGATTCTTAGAAATAGAAAGATCACCATAAGTTGAGATGAGCCCCACCTCCCCTTTATGATGTTTTTGTTGTTATTGGTTTTTTTTTTTTTTCAGTATTTTATTTCCAGTTCTGTAGACAACCAGACATTTTCTTCTTGCCTGTTTCGCTTGACTTATATTTATCATTTCCAGGATCACTTGGCATTGATGATGGAGCTTCTTGGAATGATGCCACGCAAGGTAAGACTGTTACACAGGCCTCTCTGAAAGGAACAAGTTTGCCATCCTTGCATATTTAAGTGTTGTTTTAAGGGAACAAGGTTAATCATGACTGCTTCACAACAAAACCATATAATTTAAGGTATTGTGCATGTAATTCTCACTGTTCGAGTGTCTATCCATTTTTCTTCAGATTGCATTAGGTGGGCGCTATTCTAGGGATTTCTTCAACAGATATGGAGACTTGAGGCATATCCGTCGGTTACGTTTTTGGCCTCTTAATAAGGTGTTTATGGAGAAGTATGATTTCAGTGAGCAAGATGCTACTCACATGGCTGACTTTCTCATTCCAATACTGGATTTTGTCCCTGAAAAGAGACCCACAGCAGCTCAATGCCTCAGCCATCCATGGATCAGTGCTGGCCCTCGACTGCTTGAACCCTCTGTAACTGCTAGTAAACAGCACACAGATGACAGTACATCTGAAAAGGAAAGGAAAGAGAAGGATGACAGGGAGGCCATGGAGGCTGGAGTAGGGAATATAGCAATCGATGGAGAGGCTTCGAAATGCCGCCAATGTTGAAATAACCGTTTTTGAGCATTATAATCCAATGATTACTCATATGAAATTCTTCCTTCCTCACTTGTATTGCTTTGCCAAATGGCTGCTTGCATTGTTCACTGGCGTTCTTTGCAAGGAATATCGCTTTTCCTCCTATTGACATCTATACCATTTCATAGGTTGGTGATGGGCTTTTTAGTAGTTGCGAGCTCCAGTTTTGAAAGAACCTTACTCTGAGCATGTACTCAAATATTAGAGTACATGTTTTGCGAGTAAAAGCTCTCGATGATGGATGCATCTAAAGTTTTTACCCTACAATTCACAATTGTTTCTTTGGAGGATTCCTGCATCAAACTTCTAGATCATAGTCTTTTTGAGATGCATTGTTTGAATTTAAAATGTACATTTGATTGGAACTGTTTCTTGATAAATTTGTTTGTTACCATCAGTTAACATTCAAAGAGGAAGTTACGGTTGGGAGGACAAAACTCGTTCTTTGGTACTTCATATAGTTTCATGCCAACGAAATGAGTGCTGTAATTTGCAATTCTATCCTTGCAATATTCATAATGATCAAGCATGAAGTAGGTGGCATATATGCCACTTCCAATTGAATACAGGCTGGGAGCAAAAAATGCTCGAGACTTATCAATGAAAAGGCAAGGAAAGGCATCAACGAGAGACTGAAGTGACTTTTGTCGTTGGTGGAAAGTGCAGTAGAAGTATCTCAAGTCGAGTATGGAAGAATACTGCCGTAAATAGTAGTAATAGAAAGAGTGGGAGAAAAGAGGACGTATTTGAACCCAGGATATGGCAGCCTAGCATCATGAAATTAATCAAAGAAACAAATATAAGCCTATGTATTTATTTCCAAAAAAAAAAATTACTTCTATGATTTCCAAGGCATTTCCATCGGGAGGATACATGGAACGTTGCTCCTGTCCCCTGTTTTGCATGCTGAAAAAAGCATTGCAAGTTGAAAGGGGACTAAAGGAACAACCACTCCACGGTTTCAAAGAGCTCAAAATGCTGCAGTCTTAACATAAAACAATCTATCACTATAATTATAACAAATCAAAGCACATGATGTGATGCACTTTGGAAATACCATTACAGGTTTGGTGACGAGAATTGTTTGCCGTCAGTTTCACCTGTTAAACACAAGAAAGATCAGCTTTGAAGAACTATAATGACATTTTATATCATAGAGAGTCATAAATGCCTGAAATAATAAGTATGTGTGGATTAAATGACAAAAATGCCTGAAGAATTATAGGTTCTCTACCATAATTCATAATACCACACTGCATGTTTGGCTTTTGTTTAACATTTTTTTCCTTTTCCTCTATTTTAAGTTCCACAAGGGCTTGTAGTAAAACTAGTTTTAAGATAATATACCTGAACTCCTAAATTACAGAATTTTTCTAGTCCTGAGGTACGAGTACATGAGAAAAAATGCCACAACAGCACCAACAATAATCCCTGCTGTGGTTAGCCAGAAAGCAAACTGCAGCACATAAAGATTAGGGTAAGTTAACAATCACCTCAATGAGAGTGAACTAAGCAGTCAGTCAGCAAATTTTCATGACAAACATACCACATGTTCTTCCAGATAGGACTTCAAGTTCATGCCAAATATACCTGGAAACAGGAAATAAAGTCTTGAGCCTCTTGACATGGATGCTCATAATTCCCACCCTAAAATTCTTGAACATTTTGCTCTCCAGTGGAATAAATCGTATTGAGAATGGACTTGGAATAATTTCATGCCATAAATTCCACAAATTGTAAATCAAGATATGATACATCTACGTTGGTCATCAGTGTTATAACTTTTTCTTTTTCTTTTTCCCTCTTTAATTGATTCCAAACTTGAACTGTTTCTCTAGGTCTGATACCCTCTCACATAACTAAATAAACAAGCAACAAAATTATCACCACATTTCAAATAATAGATAATAGATCCATGGACTGGCTGGCCTATAATGAACCAAGTTAGAATTTTATTTGCCATGTGATGATCAAGCATCATAATGAATCATGATTTGCGGGATCTAAAGATTTACAGTTTCTACTCTGGATAAGCCATGGAAGTTTAATAACTGATATCTAGCTATAATTAAAATCCATTCTTGCTTTAGCTGCCATTTGGCAGTGCATTAATACCATTATTAATTGAATCACAAGCAGGGGCATGCAAATTCAAACTGAACCGAATAGAAAATGGGTTCAGTTTTTTCGGTTTGGTTAATTAAGTGTTCGGTTATTTCAATTAAATATGTTTGGTTACAACGGTTTAATTGGTTAGGTTCGGTTTTGGTTTTTAAGAAGAAGTTCGGTTTTTTTTATTTTAGAAAATCCAGAACTGAACTAATTGTTCTAACCGTTTACACACCCCTAATCACAAGAATCGAAGCAACTTATGTGGATGAATGCAAGCAACAAAACACCATGTTCACTAAACCATGATTCTATTAAGCAATTCCTGAATGTAACCAATACATCTTTGGCTTCTATTTTCTTGCTGGCTGAAGGACAACATACCTGCAACTAGAGCACCAACTGCCACACAAAATGTCCCAACCTGAAGAAGTAGTTCCACTCTGCTTACCTCAAGCCTCCGAGAGCTGATAAAAATTGTAAAACAACCCCATTTTGTTAGTTAAAGGTGTATGGATTCCCGCACAAGAGAAAGATATACTAAAAAAGATTCTGAAAACTCAATTCATCCTAATCACAGATAACAGTGACCATGGGCTTTTGGAGTAATAAAGTATTTGATAAAGCTCAAATGAAATGGTAATGCTGACAAGTGACAACGAATTAAAGTAAATCAAACTTCATCAAGACCTTAAATTGACAGCAATTGAATCTTCCATTTCCTTTGCAGAGTCAAGAAGCCTTTCTGCCTGACCATGGCAAGATTCACATCTGCAAAATGACACAAGCCATTATAATCAGTTATGGCCATTGAAACTATAACATGGCCACTAACAAATTATCAGAGCAGTTTCTACAAGACATTGGCCTTTCTGCCTGGCCATTGAAAACACACCAACTACATGCTAGATATGCACCATGAATGCAACAAAGGAGACAAACCTTTGAAGATAATTTTCCAAAAGCATCTCAATTTCTTCCTCCTCTTCTGCAAAATTACCAAATCAAACCAAATTAGAAATCTTTGGTAAAAGAAAAAGGAAAAAGAAATTAGAACTGAGTTTAATGACCTTTTTGCTGATTTTGAACATCTATCACTGCATATAACATTAAGAAAGAAACCCCACCACAGCTTACCTTCAGCAATCAGCTTTTCTAAGGGTACAGAACATTCAACTTCATCATTTCCCTTTTTAAGAGTACAGTTTCTTCCCATAATACATATACGACGTATTTCATGGGGATCCTCCAAAAGATCAAGCAGCATTTGTCTAAGAGCCCCTGCTCTTGAACCCAATTCAACCTTACATGATAAAATGAAAAGAAAAGATAATGATTGGAGGAGAATACACTTAACAATTTACTATTATGCAAGTAAAAACAAGATTTTGTAAAGTTAATATACCAGCGTCTGCTTGCTAATACGAAGTTGCTCTAATATGTCACCGGTTAATTTGTTAGGCAACACCTCAAGCAGAGCTTGAACCTATGAATATGGAAGAGCACTGATCATGATTAAACAGGTCCATAATAGCACAATCTATCAAATAATGACACTGTAAAACATAAGTAAGGCACTCAAGGTACAAATCTGTACGCTCGGAAAAATAATTGATAAAGAGGGATTTTAAATTACAGATATAGAGGAAAAGGATATTACAATGAAATAAAATAATAAAGAATTGCTGATAGCAATTTCAAGTTCCTTAATCAGTCACAGAAAAATTCTGAATTGCTAAGGTGCATAAAATGCTACATTGAAAACACATATTCTGAATTTATCAAGAAAAAATTTCAGAGTACAGTTCCTTGGTCATATCAATTAATCTATGAGAACAAGTAACTCTTTCAGGCATGCTTCAGGTACATGGGAATCACAAACTATAGCTGCAAATGACCAAGCCAAGCACCTCCTGATTCAAGCCCAAGCTAAATAAGCTTGGCTTCTTCAATCTTTTATTTAGCTCAAGCTTGACTCATTTACATGAATAAGCTTAGTTAAACTTGTTTTGAGAAAGAAATAACAAGCTTCTGCACAAGTTCAAGTTTGAGCTCATTCACAGATAATAATTAATTAAAAAAAAAACAATGTTACAAGGATCTTAGGTATTTAATCAATATGCTCAACAAAAGAATATTACATACATATCTCATATCATCTAAATAAGCCTACAAATGAGTTGTTTGCAAGTTAATATTCAAAATTTCTCATTAGCTTAAACAAGCTTAAGTGCTCAATGCCCTCTTGTTAAAACTTGGCTTATTTAAGAAAATAACTAAATAAACAAACATAAACCAGCCTTTTCAAGACAAATTTCAAGTTGATCAGGAGCAGCTTGGTTATTTGCAGCTTCCTGAGGAACAAGGCTATTAGCAAAAACTAAAGGGAACAAAAATGGTAACTTAAGCATACTTCTCAGATGTTTTTAATAGTCATTTTTTAACTAGAAGGCCAATGAATTCTCTACGAGTGTGTGTGTGAGAGAGACAAGAGAAGGGGAGAGAGTGAATATAAACAAATGATAAAAGACATAGAACTACTGCTTATAAATGAATTTCTTTAATCAGAAGTTCTTTCCCATTGTAAGGCCACTTAATACCTTGAAAACCAATGAAAACCATTTTCTACTTAAATGTGCTTGCAAACACTATAAAAGTAAATCTATAAACATGCTGATGTACAGCTTCAGTAGGTATTTGTCAATTCAACATAAATCTTGTCAAAACCAAAAGAAAATAAAAAAACAAGCAAAAAAATTACTCACTATGTTTCCATACTCACACGAGGTTCTAAATCCATAAGTCTCTGCTCCAACCGCTGTGTTCGTGAAAGCAATGCTGCTTCAACAACCTGAAAGTTTCATATCAAGTGTCTCTCAAAAAACTCAGAGATGTTTAAGACTGTAACTTCCATCCAGTGAACACCACACAAATCACCTTCATATGTCAGCATGAACAAGCAAAGATCCGAAATAAGACACGAACCTCAAGCTCGAATGGCATACAATGCCCTCCATTCATGTTATTCAGCCGAGGCAACAATGTGTCCATAAAAGCCTTTCCTCCTTTACTAAAAATGATCAACACATGCAACAAGTTGACCAATGGCAGTTCAGATAACCACAAATGAATTGATAGTAAAAAGATGAAACAATAAGAACATATTTACACTGATGCAGAAGAAGAAATTTACCGATTATAGTCGAATATAAGAACACAGTCTTTCATTGCTATTGCTCGCAATGATCCCAGATTAAGTAGAATGGCATGCTCACGTACCTAAAGCAAGGAACAGGGAAAAATGAGTTTGCAAACACATTTTCGACAGAAATGCAGGGAAACTAAGGAAAGACACCAATACTCAAATCCAAGCACTCGGACCCAAGCATGACACATAAATGAATTAGCAAGAGATAAGAATAACACAATAGTCTATTACCAGAAGAGATGGCGCTGAGTTAGTCAAAAACAATGATGGATCAACACTCCGGATATCTCTAGGACGAAGACCTAAAGACAAAAAATTAAATCACCATAAATTAAAAAAACCATCATTATTTTCTGCAATTAAAGCTTAACAAACAAGTAACGAGAAAGAAAAGGAAACATTACCACTTGATTTCAATAATTGACGTCTGTTTATCTTCCTTGTAGATACTACTCCATTTGACTTCACCTCTACCACCTTGAGAGATCCAGGAAAAACACAAAATTAACAGAAGAAATAAAATTATGAACCATTCAAAACTGGTTAAAAAACCGCCAAATTTAAATGCAGCTCCACACATCCTAGTAGTAACAAATTAATAACTTAAACAAATTTTCAGGTATTAATAAATCCTAAAAAAATTAACTAATATCAGCACACAAAATCATACTTATAATTACATGCAAGTGCAAGTAAACTGTATTAATGCTCCGATTTCTTAGTTTTGTTTTTGGTACTCAGAATATTCTTTTCCTTTTTTGTTGCGAGCACTAATTTCTTTTAGATAAAAAAATTAATGAGAAAAAAAAAGAAACAAATTCTATTTATCTCATTATCTTCCAAAAAACAAAGAAGAAAAAACCTCATAGATAGGCTCACGAATTCCAAGCAAGAGAGAATCACTGGAAGAGGAAGTGATCCTCTGCGTCGCAACCACAGAACTCTGGCTTTGCTGCAACTTCGGATCTTCCCTCCCTAAACCATCATCATCTTCACCAACATTCTCAGCGGTCAATGTTTCCGGCTCGTTCAAGCAGTCCTCCTCCGTTGAGGATCTAGCGAAGCACTTGATCTTCCTGTAAGACGGTTTCACTACGACCGGAAGCAGAGGAACTCCGCTCTTTTGAAGCAGAAACGGAGAAGCGTTTGACCATGGAGAGCCGAAGAGAATATAATGTACGGACGGAGATGGAGATTTAACAGAGAATTGTAGAAGATTTGGATAAGAAGAAGAAGGAGAGGGAGTTAGCGCCATTGTTTCCTTGTTCTCATAAGAGAAGAGAGAATCTGGTTTTTGCTTTAAAACAACGAAGCGATGAAAGTATTCTACAAAGGTAGTTTCTTTGTCCCTCTCTGCTTGTATGAGGTAGTTTAAGTTATTCTTTTCGAGGGAAGATGACCGTTAATATTTGTGGCTTAGGATCAGCGTCGTCGCATCTTATTTTCGTTTTGAGATGTACATTTTTTAATAAATGTTTTTCAAAGAAAATTTTTAAAAAAAAACCTGAAAAAACAAGAACGAGCGAGACTGAAACTGCCACCTGGCTCGCGCGTTGTGGTTAAGTGTCCTTCTCTTACTGTTCAAGAGGTGTAAACGGGAAAACGATCTTTGTTCGAATAATGGTTTGAGGCTCTTGGGAATTTGAAGGTCCTGATTTCCTAACATACTGCTAGTATATAATAAAAACATAAACCGAGATTGTTAGTTCGGTTTTAAATCGCATTCCTTTTTCTCTCGTTTCTTTTGGCCACTTTTTTAATTTAAATTAAGATATTAAATTGCACCAGCATTATTAATTATTAGTTCAATCCTAACAAGTATATAAACCTTCAAATTAAGTACGTTCAAGTGAATTAATTGAACAAAAGAAGTATGTTCAATCTAGAGCATTAAATGATGAGTGATTAATCGAGATTTGATATCATAGTGGGTCAAGGCTCCACAAGATTTATTATTCTTTTTCGAAAAAACTATATTGATAAGATGCCTAATACTCACATTTACAAGCATAATTTTTTTTTATTTATCTGATATGAAATTTTTTAATATTTTTTTTCATTTGAACTCAGGATGTTTTTGTTATGAATTGACTCATTTTGCGTGCTCTATCCATTGAAGAGTTTGGTGTGATATTAAAATTGGGTTCAGATTGATTTTGATATCATTTTATCATGGGATTATTTTTTTTCTTTTCAAAATATTAATTTTATACAATACTCATGTTTATAAATTTAATATCTCTCTTATTTATTTAATACGAAATTTTGTAGCATCAATAAAAACCATTACTTTTTAAAGCTTCATTTGCATCATAATGCAAACCGGGTAAATCAAGTTGTTAGTTGAGACATAATTGTATGAAAATTTAAGTTATATATTATTGGTAAAATTTTTAAATTTTATGAACAGAGTTAAAAAGTTATCACATACTCTTGTTAGAATGTATTTAAACAAATCAATAAATTAATATAATAAATAAAAAAATACGTGATAATATTTTAACTATATTTATAAGATTTAAAAATTTTATCAATAATATATAAATAATAATCCTAATATTACGTATATACAATTAAAATATTAATAATTACACACCATAACACTTTTATGTAGTTACACATTCATTTTAATCTAGATTAAAGATATGGGAGGCTTATTGGAGTCAAATAGAACCTAAAATGATTTTTTTTTTTTGGTTTACAAAAAGCCTAATGCAACTTTAGTATTTCTTAAATAAATTTAGAGGGCAAAAAAAAAAAAGAAATTTAGCATTATATAGTCACATAGTATGATAGAGAAACTATTTTATTTATGTTACAAATGTCAACTGCTACTTCTAGTTGCTTGAATTTTGGATGATTAATTCATTTTCATAGAACGTTTAGGTTTGAGGTTTAGGTCATTTATCGTGTCAATGGTTTTTTTTTTCATTACTCTATTTTTTTTCATCAATGAAAACTTACTCTATTTTTTCTTTTTTTTTTTTCCACATCAATGAAAACTACTCATGCTTTGTGTTTTAAGACTGAAAATATAATTAAACTCTATTAGTCATGAGACGATTATCTCTTTTTTAAAAAGTTAATTTAATCAGGTATGTAGTGTACATGCTTATAAGCATAGACTGCTCAATAAACTCAAAAACTTTAAAGTTAAATATTCAAATGAGGTTTTTTTTTTAAATTAAGAAAATGAGGTTTTTTTATTGAAATTAAAGAAGATAGAGAAAATGAGGCAAAAGAATTCATGAGTTAGTATTATAAATTGAAAAAAAAAGATAATTAGTTTTATATATAAAAAAACTAGTTATTGGGCATAATTAAATACATGTTATTATTAGTTAATTGAGAAAAGGATATATAGTTGAGAATTAATAACATTGTGAGAGTTGAGAAGTAATAAAAAATATAGATTTATTAGACAAAGAAATAAGATAATATGTTATTTTATTAATTACCTTAAGAATTAATAATGATATGAAAAGTAAGAGAAAATATATATTTATTAAATATGAGATGATATATAGTTATTTTATTAATTATATTAATTGTATATATTTTTAATATAATTAATTATATAATTATAAAATTAAGAAGCTTATGAAAATTTTGAATCAAAGTAAGGGCTTTATTGGCTTTACCTTAAAGTTGGCATTGCTTATAAGCTTCTTGGACCTTTTTATTTACTTGATATAACATTGAAGCACCACTTACACTTCCTTTGAAACACTTGGTGTGACTTTCTCTCTCATCTAATTTGGTACTGCCTTTATTGCCATTGATCACCTTACCTTCCCTTTGGAGGTGCTTAGCATGGATCTAATCTAGATCAAATTTATTTTGACACCACTTTGTTACAGGGCTATTCCTCTCTCTTAAAAGACAGACATACTTATTTTTTTTAAAACACGAAACACTCGATGGCATTCTTCATCACCTAATTTGATGATTTTTTTATTTTCATTGATCATCTTACTTATCTCAGATTTAGAAGTGCTTGATGTGAATCTGATTTAAGTCGAGTTTGTTTTGATATTACTTATCATAAAAAAATAAAATTAGTAGTTAATGTAAGTTTTGTAATTAAAAATATACCTTGCAACAATATTTTATACTCAGATTTTCTTGATTATAGTCTAATTAGCTCCATTACATTTTAATTTAAGATATAAATCAAAAAATAAAATAAATGTCAAAAATTGTCTATCAACAAGGGGTAAAATTGAACAAAACATATAGCCGAGGGGATAATTGGTAAAGAATACAAAAAGTTAAGGGTATAAATCTCGAGTACATTTCCACGAAGTAGGGAGACGAGAATTCAATAGCAGAGAGAAGGGCAAAGAAATTCAGCACAAAGAGCAAAAAGAGAGGGAAATAAGAAATAAGCTTTGAGGTTTCTGAAAAGAAGCAAAGCAAATGGCGCCATCAGCATCAGCTCCGACAAGAGAAGAAGAAGAGGAAGAACAACAACAACTCGAAGAAGAACTTTCTGTCCCTTCGCATCATCCTTCCGCACCGCCCGATGAGGTTGCAAATCAACGGCTCTGACTTCACTTCACTCATCTTTTTTCCCTTTCCTTTTTGTTTTGTTCTTCAATCTTAAAATATAGAAGCTAGGGTTTAAGAGTAAATTTCAATTAGATTAAATCTGTTAATTTAATTTAATTTAATGTTATTTTGAAAATATTCCTCTCATTTTGAATTTATTCAGTGAAGTACTCTTGTTTTCTTTAATGTAGTTATTTGATATTTCGACAACAGTTGATCCGAGTTACGTAATTTCATTGATAAGGAAACTTCTCCCACTTGATGCAAGAAATGGTGATAATACTGAAATTCGGGTTTCAAATTGTAATGATGAAGTTGTAAGCTCGTCAAATGATAAGTTTAAGCGCATGGAGATTGTTGATGATTTTAGTAAATCTGATTTTCAAGGAGAAGATGAAGAAGATTCTGGCCGCGGAGGGGAAAATGCTCGTGTATCAGCTGGGGAGGTGGTTTGGGAGGAGTGTGGTTGTGTTCTGTGGGATCTTGCTGCAAATCAAACTCACGCTGAGCTCATGGTACTGGGACTTGCCCCTTGGTTTATTTTGTATTTATTGCATTTTAAGTCAAACTAATAGTATTTATTTTAACTGTTAAAGGTTACTGTTGATTAGGCGAAAAGAAAAATCAAATACGAAGAAGACTGATAATATCCTTGTTTGTTTTATGGATGGTTGTTCTATATGATGCAGGTGTAAATCTCCCACTTACCTTCTTTACCTATGCAAGTAGCCCAAAAACCACAGATTATGAAGAAGTAATTTATTAAAAAGGATATGAGAATATATTGTTGTTTGTTAGGAATTCAGGTGTCTAAATTTTACTCATAGCGGTGTATGTGCTGGACTCACTCAATGATATCTATGCAGGTGCAAAACTTAATACTCGAAGTTCTTTCAGCACATCTTATGGTTACCCAATCTGTTCGTGTCACTGTAGGTTACACATTTGCCCTTGTTTTGATGCCTTATTTTGGTCATCTAGTTGGTCAGTGGATGTTTCTGAGGAACTTTGATGCATCATGCATGATGCTTTTATACATTTTTTCTTTGTATCAGGAGATTTGTCTTGGAATCATGGGAAATTTAGCCTGCCATGAAGTTCCCATGAAGCGCATAGTTTCTACAAATGGACTAATTTCTGCGATAGTAGATCAATTGTCTTTAGATGACACCCAATGTCTATGTGAAGCTTTCCGGTAACTTTTTTTAATCATATATAATTTCTATTTTCACATGTTATGCCAGAACATTATAATTTATCTCTCTCTCTTTTGTAATTCTATATATTTTTATTGTTTTTGCTATACTGTCCTGACCATTGTGTCTAAGTTCATTTTAGATCTTGAAGGCTGTGGTTATTCTTACACTGTTGTTATAGCACTTTTTGTTTTGTTTAGCTATAGATACAATCACAAGGAATTTTCTTGCCAGACATTAAATTTTACTCTTCCACCTATTGAAATTATTTTTTTCATTTTTCTTCGTACAAGCATCTTAGATGCCTATAGAAGGGGCTGTGACCCGTTAAGTGGTTGTTCTGAAATGAAAGTACCACAAGCACTATCCTGCAAGCATATCCAGAACTAAAGATCTTGAAAATTTAAAAATGTGTACAAAAGAAGAAATGGGTGGTTAAAATAAAGAGAACTCTGATGCTTGTGAAAATGTTTCTTCAAGAACTACAGTAAAGCCTTCCAGATGTTCGATAAAGCAGTATATTTATCTTTATTCCCCTTTTTTTCCACTTCGTGTCGGTGGTTTGGTTTTCTCCTTATATGTGGCATCCTTTTCTATCTGAAGTTACTGTTTCTTGTCAAATTATTAATTATGG